GAAAGATGAAAACTAGGATATATTAATATTAAAAATATTAAAATGTTTAATTTTAACTATAATTTAAGCAAAATTTACATTATATTTTATTTACTATGTAGTTTTGATTAAATATATTGATATTTTTAATATTAAGATGTCTTGATTTTCTACATTATCTTATTTGTATTTAATTTTTTGGTACATCTTATGATAAATTATACAAAAAAGAATAACCTTCCTCCATTCTCTCAAATCCCTCCATAACTTAAACTTTAAACTTGAAATATGTTAAAGTAAAAAAATTTCACATCAATAACATAAAAAAGATATATCTGATTTAAATATAAAAAGAGTTATTTTATTTATTGTTAATTGATTTTAAATTGAAATGATGGCAATTCTTGTCTGATTAAAAATAATTTATAATAAATTGTGTTATATTAATTATGGATTTATGTAAACATTGAAGAATTGTTTGTACTCCAAACAATAATAATTTTTTATGAAAAAATAGAAACAAATATGATAATTAAGATTTAAAAATATAATTATTTCATAATATTTAATTTAAAATTACTATTATCAAATTTTAATAAATTAATATAAAAAAGTGACAAATTGTATATATATATATATAAATTCAACTCATAAGTTATCCCATAAATCGTTAAAATCAAATTAAGTTCAATACTTATTAACCTGCCGCCATCCATGACCCCGATCCAAGCTTGGCCCAACCTAGTCGCCACCTCTACTTACCCACCGCACCCCCCTTCAAAAAAAAAAACATCCCATTTCCTCTTACCTCTTCAAGTAACAAACGATCTCCTGAGCCTATTAACAAATAAGTAAAAGCCCATACACGATGAGCCAGGCTCAGTAATAACTAATTTTAAGAAAGGCCCAGTAATAACTTACTCTTATTGAAAAAGAGAGGCCCAGTAGTAACTTAAAATAAAATATATGATCAGCAATTTAATTTGGCATTGGCCACGGTTCGAATCATATCCCATCAAATCTCTCGGACTTCTATTCTTCTAATCTCAGAATTTTCTTTCGTTTCTTTCTTTTTTCAAATTCAATTTTTGAACTCGTAGACACCTGATTTGAATATATAGAAATGTTTTTAAAAAAAAAAATTAAAACACTTTCCTACACTGAGAACATCTATAATTTTTCTAAAAAAAATTTTGTCACTTAAATTGTAACTTATAAATCACTTAAGCAAACACCCGTGGTTAGGTTCCCCAAACACAAAAATAAATAAATAAATAAAATTTAGACATTTCTTACTAATTCGTGTGATAAAAGTCTATGGCTAAGAATGCATATGGGAGTGGTGGCAGGAAGCATAAGAAAAAGATAAAGGAAAAAGGCAAGAAGGTGAACGAAAGAATAACACCCAACAGAACAAAAAAAGGAGATCTTTGCCACTGGGGTCGGTCAAAACTTGGGTACCAAGGGTTATGATACATCAATCTTAATTAATATTCCTTTGTTTTGACAAATTTAAGATAAAGGAAAGTTATTTTAGTCTAAATTAAATTAAGACATTTTATCTATCTTAGTGAATATTAATTGTAAAAACATATAAATTGACTTATTAACAATAGACTATTTGTAGTAGAATTCAAAATTCAAATTCTTAATCATGAATAATTGAAAAAGAATTTGAACTCATAGTTACAAAAAGATAAATATCGAAGAGTTTGAACTTAACTACAATTAATTACAATAATTTAGTATTTATAAGCGGGTACTTCTCATATAATAAAAGAAATTAATTCTTTTAAAAGGTACGTAGTGATATAATAACAATTTTTTAATATCATGAATTTCAAATAAATTGAATGAAATGAGTTAATTATTTAAATAACATGTTAGATTGATTAAAAAAATAATATAAAAAATTATTCCTAAATCATTTTTCTTTTTTTAAATGTCAATCTCAAAATTTAAAATTTAAAATTTAAATTTAATCTATGGAACTACATTTATTTAGCAATAAATTAATACTTTAGGTTTAAGATATGACATTGCAAGAGCAATTTAAAACCTTAGCCAAGAGGAATTTCATTACATCACTATTCAGTTGGAAAAAAAATAAAAAAAAGCCTATACGAGGTAAAGTGGGAGCCACACTTAATTACAAAAATTTTTCCCCAACTTCATCCAGAAGCAGAAGCAGTTATGATGCAGTGGTCTATTATATATACATTTAAGGAAGCTACTTCTTCTTGACCATCTGCGTTTTTCATTGAAATCTCAAGGAAATGAGCAACCTCAGCAGCAGCACCGTAAGCAACAGGAGCAATGCAGTGGGATTCCGATTCCACCCGAGTGATGAAGAACTCATCAGTTTCTACCTGACAAACATGGTGCTCGGCCGTGATTCGGTGGTCCAAGACATCACCAACGTCGGTGACATCTGCGAGTATGAACCCTGGGAGTTACCCAGTAAGTGAACATTGTTAATTTTTCTCAACTATTTTTTTTTTTCTTAAATTGATAAATACTAATTCAATTAACCTATTAATAATAAATGTATTACAGGATTGTCGGCTCTGGAGTCAGACGATGAAGTGTGGTACTTCTTTTGTAAACCAAACCACAAATACAAAAACAGCACACGTTCCAACAGGACCACTAACAAGGGATACTGGAAAGCAACGGGGAAACAACGCAAGATAAAGGCTGAAAATAGCACCAGAGACGTAATAGGTAAGAAGAAGACTTTGGTCTTCTATCTAGGATCTATTCGTAATGGTGACGGGAAACGAACCTCCTGGGTCATGCATGAGTACGAGCTCACTTCCAATATTCCTAACCAAGTAAGTACTTGTGCGAGTTTAAATAAAAATTCAAAGGTATTCCATTGTATTCATGTTCAAAGTTAATTTAATGTGTATTTTTTCTTAATTATTATTTTTTTTTCTTATTTGATTTTGTAGACGTCGTTTGTTCTCTGTAAATTGAAGAAAAAGGATGATGCACCGGGTGATGAATACCTGCCAAGTTACCACCCAACTCCTGTTGCAGTGGAAGATGAAAATGAAATTCCAAGGGTAAGACCCTGCCTTCTAAAGTAAACGCTTCTTCAAATTGTTTGTATAGAGAATCTTATTTTGCATATTAAATTGTAAAACAAAAATTAAATAAAAAATAATTTTTAATATCAAGAGTTCTTATAATTTATTTAATAATTTAAATTATATAGTTTGAATACTTTTTTGATTTCTAAATCCATCTTCATATTAGATTTTTTTTTTTATTTGCATTTCTTTAATTCTGAAATTACATTTACACAATATCACTCAGCAATCAATCTGGAAATAGAATTAAATGTCTTAGTTTTTGTATGAAACAGGGCACGTTTGACATATATGAGGCTGGAGCCGAGCAGAATGTACGTACAGCCGACGAGGATGTGTACGGGTATATGAACTCGCTCCCTCCACTGCAGCCACAGATGTATTACCAGGAGCAGCAGGCTTCCTCTTCATGGAATTACCCGTATGGCTTGAGCAGCGGCTATGATGCAACTCAAAATCATTACCCTCCTAGCATCAATGGATGGGAGGATGAGTTTTGCAGTTCTTTTTTTGCGGGTTACCCTGAAGCATACCCTGGAGAAGGAAGCAATCACCATAATTGATTCATCCTTGACCTGCATTATGGTAATGTATGAACAATTACATTATAAGTATTCTTAAGGGAAGACTGGATCAGTCAGTAACAATGTATGTATTGAAGTCAAGCATATATATATTTTGCATGTTTATATATGGGTAATGATGTATGGATTGAAGTTTTTAAATTTGAGTATTGTAGTGTGTAGATTATTGTTGTTTAATATTCTAATTTTATTTTAGTTTGTTAATTATATGTAATATAGTTTGAATTGTATTGTAATTTATGAAATGTTAATTGATTGTGATTATCACAATCATTAAAGTAAACTATACTGAAATTTGTACTAACTAAAATAAAAAAATGTAAGAAGTAGTGATTTTAGAGTAGAAGCAAAATTAACACATTTAAGTGTGGTGGGAAACGAGGGTACAACTAGGAACTTCAAAATTATGAGGGGAAAATAATGGGGTGAGAGAGGCTCGAACTCTCGACCTCAGGATAACTCGATATGCTATGAGACCTACGCGCTAGCCAACTGCGCCACCACCCCTTGGTCCCCCCGAATGCACAAAAACCTAAATAACTGACTGCTACTTTTGGTGTTGTTAAATGGACGTCCGTAAATCTTGTTTTCTTAGTGCTTCATTTTATTTTAGTTTCTTCAATTCATCACCTTTTATGGGTTTCTTAGTCTGGACAACATTACCTGATGTCTCTGGGATGTCTTTCAAGCATTAGTTTGTACGTATATGACGAGTACATGATTAATTATTCAATTTTGACTATAATACATTGAATGTATTCCTAACATTTTTCCATATATAAATTCCCAAAACTATAACATGGTAGTTATAAAAATGCTATCAATAAATTCAGATTTAGAATTAATCAATTAGAAAAATGCAGCCAGAATCCTTTTATAGAGGCTTGGCACAGGGGCAGTGCAACAACCTTACTAAAGTAGGTAAAATGCAGCCGTTAAGGGTTTCAGTGGTTATAATTTTAAAATCAATTTGATTAAACTTATATCCACCATCTTTTTCACTTTGATTTTCTTTATAAATTATCAGGGATGCTGTTATTGTTTGTTGTTGTGTTTGAAGACAAGACAATATTCTAACTGAGTTGTTGTGAAGTTCAATTTACTCACTAGAAAAGGTAATCGTCACTGGTTCATTGGTTGGTTGGTGTATTTTATTTTTTAAGGAAATTGTTTTTTCTTCAACCTAAACTTAGAAAGAAAGAAAAAGGTCAGATTAAACAGCCATGGCTCTAGGATCTCTTTTGTAGTTCCCGAATCTTATGTCAAGTGAGAGAATTGTAAATTACTCTAGTA